ACAAACAATATTTGAAATCCAAACTGTGCTTGCCACTACAGTACTTCATTGTTTGTTCAGTTTATTTGAGTTATCCATACTCTGTTTGAAAAAAAGAGTATTTAATTTAGTCTTAAATGTTGAGTGCATGTGAGTATTATGGCAATGCTACTGCTGCATTGGAAGTGGGGCACGAGCAAAAAAAATAACAACTCAATGCATTCATCAATAACTGTGGCCTGAAAGGGAAAAAGGTTTTAGAATGGGCGACGTTTCGTGGTAAAGGTCCTTCTTTACAGTACATAAGAACACGCAAGGCACGATAGGGAGGACTGATCCCAATGGTCACACGCTCGCCTACGACAGTACTTATCCACAAATCATCTCTTCTACTGCCACTACTCGTAAAGTGAATGCACGGAATTGGGGGGGGGGGGGGTGTCCAAAAGGCCTCAACTGTTTTTTTTAACACAACCGAGACACGGCACACAAAGCCCGGTGCGGCAGGTTTACTGTGCTGCAGCTGTATTGGGTTTAAAAAAAAAACTCCAGTTTGGAGTGGGTTGCGTTCACTAGGGCGACGAGCTGGTGGAACTACGGCCCCGCTCTCGCCGACTGTGGCTACCCAAGTGAGGTGGGGTCTGGGACGACCGGGGGGGGGGGGGTCGAACCTGGCCACCCGGGTTCGATTCTCGGCTCACGGCTAACACCGGTGACGATTGTCTGAACCGGAACTGGGCCTCCCCTCGGTCAGCTCAGCCTCAAATGACTACCAGGTGCGATGTGTAAATTATCGCCAGTAAGGAAGGCAAAGGCGACCGGGTGTGGCGTTGGCCACCCTCTTGTGCCGTGCCGGCCTTCACCGGTGCTCACTAACAGCACTTGCCCCAACAGTCTGCTGAGGCTATACGGGGGATCTTTGTCTTTGGAGTGGTGGGTAGAAACGCGGTGTGGGTCAAGCGAACTGGAATTCCTATCCCCCCCCCCCACCACTCGGACCCACCACCACCCCCACACCCACCACCGCCACAATCCACAGAGTTCTGCCGAAGTTGGAGGACATCTGTTGTTCTATCTGCGATGGAGCACCCAGTTCCTCCACCACCCCCCTCCCCACCACCCCCATTGTACTTGCCAATAAACAACGTTAAAGCAGGCTGATTGATGATCACAAGCGGCACTCGCTAATTCACTCCCAAACCACTCGCTCAGTCGCCTCCGCATCGCTCTCCCATCGCTACCGGCACCTGGTTGCCCGTTGCCACCAAGTGCGCTGCTTGGCATCCCTGCACCCACGTTGAGAACTCACTCACACTAGGTCTACCAACGCCGACCAATCTGCATCTCTCATCCGTGCAGTGTCCAACAACCATACTTCACAGGTCACAACACGGGCACGCCTAACGTATACTTTAGTTCCCTCGGAAAGCTGCACGAGTGGGCCCTCTCCCCCACCAAGTGCTTATAACCGTACTCAATTCGAGGAACGAATCAATAACGCTTATGTATCCATTGCGTACTCCAACAGTGGTAAAGTCTTGCTTGGGTTAGATCGCGTAAATGGGCTGTCGTTGTGTCGTCCGCTCCACCTCCACACGACACAGACAATCGTGAAGGTTCGCGTTGGGTTCGGAGGTTTGTGTGCGACACGTTCACGCCATCGAACACCGAAAATAAACAAAAACGTCATCGTGAGTAATATCGGTCGCGAGGAGCCGACGACGTGTTAGGGGGCCGTCCATAAATGACGGCGTCACAAAAAGTCAGACCCCCCCCCCACCCCCTCAAATGACGTCACAAAGCTCTGCCCCCCCCTAAAAAAAATTAAAATCGCTTTAAACTATCGTCATTGTAGTAGTGCGTATTTAATGTGGCGCTGCACTCTGATGTTGTAGGAGAAAACATTTATTAACAAGTCTATTTAATTAAGCAGAACGTGTTGTGTCTATATTTATTTAAAGTTGCCCATTTTGATGTGACGTCACATTTCTCACCCCGCCCCCCCCTCGTCACAGATCGTCACAAATGTCTGACACCCCCCCTCCCCTCCAGGTGCGTGACGTCATTTACGGACGGCCCCCTACATCTTCGACAGTGATGTTTCTTACAGTCCGCCCTGCATTGTCTCCTAGCCATGCCCAACTTCCGCAGTCGCGAAAACTTTTTTTTTTGCACGACCCATCGGCCCACAGACCTCGTCTTGTCGTGACGGACCCCCCCACCCACCCCCCTGCGGGATGGGGGGGACTGGGGGGGAGCGAGGAGGCACTGGGGAGGGAGAGGAGATCACGAGAGGGAGAGAGGGGAGGGAGAGAGGGGGGAGAGGGGATCTCGAGAGGGAGAGAGGGGGAGAGGGGAGAGAGGGGATCACGAGAGGGAGAGAGGGGAGAGAGGGGGGAGAGGGGATCACGAGAGGGAGAGAGGGGGGGAGAGAGGGGGGAGAGGGGATCACAAGAGGGAGAGAGGGGGTAGAGGGGGGAGGGGATCACGAGAGGGAGAGAGGGGGTAGAGGGGGGAGGGGATCACGAGAGGGAGAGAGAGGGGGGGAGAGAGGGGGGTAGAGGGGAGAGGGGATCACGAGAGGGAGAGAGGAGGGGAGAGAGGGGGGAGAGGGGATCACGAGAGGGAGAGAGGGGGTAGAGGGGGGAGGGGATCACGAGAGGGAGAGAGGGGATCACGAGAGGGAGAGGAGAGAGAGGGAGAGAGGGGGTAGAGGGGGGAGGGGATCACGAGAGGGAGAGAGAGAGGGGATCACGAGAGGGAGAGGGGAGAGAGGGGGGGGGGAAGAGGATCTCGAGATGGATCACTGGGCAGGGAGAAGGGAGAGTGAGAGGGCTCCCGAGAGCGAGAGAGTGGGAAAGGGGTCACTGGGGAGGGGTCACTGGGGAGGGGTCACTGGGGAGGGGTCACTGGGGAGGGGCCACTGGGGAGGGGTCACTGGGGAGGGGTCACGGGAGAGAGGAGAGGGGGAGATCTCGAGAGGGATCCATGGGGAGGGGTCCTGAGAGCGATAGAGAGGGATAGAGAGGGATCACTGATGGGGAGGGGGTCACGAGAGTGAGAGAGTGGGAGAGAGGAATCCCGAGGGGGGTCAGTGGGGATGGAGGGATGAGAGGGGGGTCAGTGGGGGTGGAGGGATGAGAGGGGGTCAGTGGGGGTGGAGGGATGAGAGGGGGATCAGTGGGGGTGGAGGGATGAGAGGGGGGTCAGTGGGGTGGAGGGATGAGAGGGGATCAGTGGGGGTGGAGGGATGAGAGGGGGGTCAGTGGGGATGGAGGGATGAGAGGGGGATCAGTGGGGATGGAGGGATGAGAGGGGGTCAGTGGGGATGGAGGGATGAGAGGGGGGTCAGTGGGGATGGAGGGATGAGAGGGGGGTCAGTGGGGATGGAGGGATGAGAGGGGATCAGTGGGAATGGAGGGATGAGAGGGGGTCAGTGGGGGTGGAGGGATGAGAGGAGGGTCAGTGGGGGTGGAGGGATGAGAGGGGGGTCAGTGGGGGTGGAGGGATGAGAGGGGGTCAGTGGGGATGGAGGGATGAGAGGGGGTCAGTGGGGGTGGAGGGATGAGAGGGGATCAGTGGGAATGGAGGGATGAGAGGGGTCTGCTGGTGTATCCCAACTCCCCCCAAGCACCCCCATGGGTCACGATTTGGCCGCAAGGACACGGGGAAGGCTACAGGGTTGCGATTATGTAACGCGAGACGGAGTGAAACGCAGTGCTCTCGCCTTGCATGCTGCAGTGGTGGCGCTGATGATGATGATGATATGAATATATTATTAACCGTCTCGGGGTCAACTCGTTTATGACATGACGATACAATGTTATCACGTCGATGATGTTCAAACGACCGCTGCCGATGGTGGTGCGAGGTGGATTATCTCCGCTTCGTCAGTGACAAAGTGATTGATGACGACGAGGAATAAATCGTGTTACACTATAATTATTACGATGACGCGTGATTTGTTAAGTCACTGATGATGTTCGTGTTGACAATCGATGGGAGGAGCAAGTTAATAAACTGGTTGAGGACACTTTCCCTCCTTTCACCCTGGGACGACTGCCCCAAACCTTCCAGATGAGACATCACAATCGATCACGATTGATTCGTCTTCAAGTACCACCAACTTTATACACAGACGCAATGACTTTGATCTCGTTACAATTGTTGTCGACTTGGGGAGCCGACCGCGTTCACCGATGCCGTGTGTTTGTTATACGCCAAAAAAAACCCCATCAACAATCGCCATCTATAATCTTGGTTCTTTCGGTAAAGTCACGTAGAAGGGAAACAATAAAATTATATATTTTTTATGATATTTTGCAGTCACGAAAGCTTTAAATCAACATTTAATCGCCATCCAAACCAGGGTCACGCGCACTGCCGATGAACCTCGTGAGAAGGCGAAACCAAGCGCGTAGGTCTTTGCAATCGTTAAAGCAAACAAAATAAAACACAACGCTGTAAGCGGCATCGCCTCCGTGTAACACATTAGCTACTGCGTTGTTTAAATCCGTACGCCGCTGGGGTTGAACAACAACAGCAGCAGCAACAACAACGTTAATCAAACGCCCATTAGTAGCTTGTAGTGACCTAAAGTCCACAGGGGTACATCGTGACAATCGTCTCTACGTCTGCTCCTTAACACCACAAACACCTCCACCACCACCTCACACACACACGAGGCGCACTTGGGGACAACCCAAACATTTCCCTCTCTAAATCTTCCGCACTTAACTGAGGCCTGCACAACTTTGCCGGAGTACAACAACAACCACACACACCACACACACACGAGAAACAATTAAACAAATTCGCCTTCCTCACACTTCCTTCCAAAGTTGCCCGCTGCGCTGAACCTGCTGCTCGTTGGTTATTGTTGTTGTTGTTGCCGTGCAACAGATTCCCAAACCCCACAACTACCACAGAGGCCTACTCCGGGCTCTCTCCCTCCACGAGCCCCCCTCGCTTGCCTGGCCTGGCTACCCCGCCCGCAGCCGCGGGTTACGGCGTTGCCTCACCACACGGAGCCGTAGGCGCCCGAGCCCACGGGCGTGAGTCCGCTGTATCGTTCGGGCACCTCCCAGACCGTCTTGTTGAGCTCCTGGCGGTAGAAGGAGGGCTTCGCCGTGGCGGACATGGCCTGTGTTAGTAGAAGCTTTGTAGGTGATGTGTTGTTGGTGTTGTTCTACCGCTGGGATGATGCTCCTGCTGCTGATGCTGCTGCTACTGCTGCTGCGGTGTGGGCTGAGTGAGCAGCGGGCGAAGTTGGAAGTGTCACGGCGCCCTGGCTGGGTCGCCGCAAGCAGGAAGCGACTTTGCACGCACACAAAGATACAGACAAAGATCCCCCGTGTAGCCTTCAACAGACTGTAGGGGCAAGTGCTTGTTAGCGAGTAACACCTGTGAAGGCCGGAACGGTACACAAGGGGGTGGGTGGCCAGCAACCACGCCCGACCGCCTTTGTCTCTCCAGTGGCGATGTTTACTATACACCGCACCAGGTACTCATTTCAGGCTGAGTCGACCTAGGGGAGGCCCAGGACCGGTTCAGATAATCGACACACACGTAGATACACTCCCCAGACACACACACACCCAGACACACACACACGTAGACACACACACGTAGACACACACACACGTAGACACACACACGCACACAGTGAGAAACACACACAGACACAGTGAGATGCACAGATACACACAGACATTGGGTTACACTGATACACACACAGACACAGTGAGATGCACAGATACACACAGACATTGGGTTACACTGATGCACACACAGACACAGTGAGATGCACAGATACACACAGACATTGGGTGACACTGATACACACACGCAGACACAGTGAGATGCACAGATACACACAGGACATTGGGTGACACTGATACACACACACAGACACAGTGAGATGCACAGATACACACAGACATTGGGTGACACTGATACACACACACAGACACAGTGAGATGCACAGATACACACGGACATTGGGTGACACTGATACACACACAGACACAGTGAGATGCACAGATACACACAGACATTGGGTGACACTGATACACACACACAGACACAGTGAGATGCACAGATACACACAGACATTGGGTGACACTGATACACACACACACACGACACAGTGAGATGCACAGATACACACAGGACATTGGGTGACACTGATACACACACAGACACAGTGAGATGCACAGATACACACGGACATTGGGTGACACTGATACACACACACAGACACAGTGAGATGCACAGATACACACAGACATTGGGTTACACTGATACACACACAGACACAGTGAGATGCACAGATACACACAGACATTGGGTGACACTGATACACACACACAGACACAGTGAGATGCACAGATACACACGGACATTGGGTGACACTGATACACACACACGACACAGTGAGATGCACAGATACACACAGACATTGGGTGACACTGATACACACACACAGACACAGTGAGATGCTACAGATACACACAGACATTGGGTTACACTGATACACACACACAGCACACAGTGAGATGCACAGATACACACAGGACATTGGGTGACACTGATATACACACACACAGTGAGATGCACAGATACACACAGACATTGGGTGACACTGATACACACACACAGACACAGTGAGATGCACAGATACACACAGACATTGGGTGACACTGATACACACACACAGACACAGTGAGATGCACAGATACACCAGACATTGGGTGACACTGATACACACACACAGACACAGTGAGATGCACAGATACACACAGACATTGGGTGACACTGATACACACACAGACACAGTGAGATGCACAGATACACACGGACATTGGGTGACACTGATACACACACACAGTGAGATGCACAGATACACACAGACATTGGGTGACACTGACACACACACACAGACACAGTGAGATGCACAGATACACACAGACATTAGGTTACACAGAGACAACAACAGCCGCCATTCACCATGAAGTGGCGGTAACGTCACCACGGCGCTTGTGCCAGGCTAGGTGCACTCTGAGGCCACGTGAAGTGTCGAAGGCTCGCTGACAGGAGGTCACGGAACAGACCAAGGTGCCGTGGGTCGACTGACTGAGATCACTTGCAGATGCACCACCTGTGCCCCCTACTGTGCCAACTTTCCGCGTTTTATCCGCCCGGCGCTCCGCTCGTTGTTGTGAGCGTCGCTCCTCTTGCCCCCCGCTTCTGCTGGAGAACAGCTGCCTCCAAATGCCCGGTAGCGGCGTCCATCACGAGCCTCCTCCTCTTACTCCGCAGAGGCCCATCTTGACACCACAGGTTACCGGTTTCCGACATATCCATCAGCTCCGCGTCTCCCTGTACCAACATGGTCCCATTTAATCTCGACGCCGTGGTTGGAACGGTTTGGCTCCATTTATTTAAAACTTGTCAACCCCTTATCAGTGCCAGCCTCACTACAGAACAATCCGGACCATATTGGTCACCCAGTGCCCCTTATAAATCGCAACATTTATTATACAGGGAAACTGAATTTTCAGGTCCATACGGCGTACAGCCGTTTCAAAACGGTGGAGGGGGGGGGGAATGTGTTTTTGTTAATTTGTTTGTGTTTCTCCCTTGTGATGGGACTTTGTAGGATTAACGTTGACATTCCTAAGGGCACATGGGGGTAGCCAATAAGGTCTGAGTTGGGTCTGTAACGAGGTAGGGCACTGATAAGGAGTTTCCTGGCAGATTTCAGCCAATTTGTGTTTTGGGAGTTTGCCAAATTTTACGCAGAGCCAAGCCGAGAAGGACGTTGATCGGTCAGCGCAGGAATATTGTCAAGAACACATTCTAATTTCTCACATTAACATAACATCATGCTCATTTCTCACATTAACATCACGAGCCCCGGCCACTTCTTTATGACCCTTGAGCTACACCCATTTCAAACCTTTTAAAACAGTCTGCCTCAGTAGCAGACCACTGCTTTCCCACCTGATGACGGACGCTTGTGTGTTGCGCCCGAAACGTCGTGATTTATTTTATTTTACACCTACGTGACTTTACCGAAACAACCAAAGAGTAAGAACACACCTGTGCAAGGTAATCACCGCGGTGAATGGCGTTCATCGACACAATAATAGCCTGCGCTGCATCTCGCGGATGCAAGTCAATATCTGGACACCCGATCACAAATGCCAATTCCTGGCACCTGTGCAGCAGGTCAAGGCAGGACAGGCGGGCGACACGAGACACTGTTGTCACTGGCGCTCCCCACCGTTCAGAGACAAAGATCCCACCGCAGAGTCTCGAACGGACCTGGTGGGGCAAATGCCGAGTCGACCTAGGGGTGGCCCAGGTACCGGTTCGGATAATCGTCACTGGTGTTGGGTTGGCCGCGAGCGGGAATCGAACTGGGGTGGCTGGGTTCGTAGCGCAGCGTCGCGCTCACCGCTGCACCACCGATCCCCACCCACCCACCCACTTTGGTCACAACAAAGACAAAGACCCCCCGTGTAGCCTGTAACAGACTGTTGGGGCAAGTGCTGTTAGCGAGTAGCACCTATGAAGGCCGGCACGGCACACGAGGGGGTGGGTTGCCAGCACCACGCCCGGCCTCCCTTGTCTCCCCAGGGGCTGATGTGTATACGCACCGCACAAGGCACTCATTTGAGGCTGAGTCGACCTCGAGGGAGGCCACAGAAAACGGTTCAAACGTTCAGCCACTGTTGTTGGATCGGGAGCGGGAATTGAACCCGGTTCGCCGGGTACGCAGCGTGCGAATCACTGGAACTATCGCGCCAACATCACACGCACGCATCATTACAGGTGTCCTTCTGCGTGTTATGTGTAAACAGCGTCTCTAAATAACTTGGTTGGCATTTCTTGCGTGGAAAATTGTAAACTCTGCGGTGTGTGACCGCAGTCAGTGTAGCAGAACAGACAACGTTGGCATATAACGACCCCAATGCCCGGATTCGCCAATACACTAAGATTCATACATTCGCAAAGAGACTATTATGTTCACACAGAGAGAGATATAGAAATCACACAGAGAACCATACACTCATGTAAGAGAATCGGAGATTCCTACAATGACCCACTGACTCACCCAGAGACTATCCAAAGGAAACGTTATATAACGACCCCAATGCCCGGATTCACCAATACACTAAGATCCATAAATTCACAAATAGACTCTTAGGCTCATAGAGAGAGAGATACATATATAGAATCACACAGAGAAACATACACTCACATAGAGACCCAGACTCACGGAGGTCCATAGAGTCACACTGAGACCCATAGTTTCACATAAGAGACCCGTAGTCTCCCACAGTTACCCACAGACTCACCCAGAGAATATCCAAAGAAGACGTTATCACAGCCATACACTCTGGTACTCATACAGGCGATAATCTGGGGCTGGGGGGGGGGCTGGGGGGGGCTCAGCCCCCCCTGAAATTTTGGGAAAGTCGGTAATCGGGATAACCGGATATCCGGCTGCTGCAAAATTCTGCAGGCTGCCACCTTGTGTGCTGCCCTGCAGGCTGCTACCTTGTGTGCTGCCCTGCTGGATGCCACCTTGTGTGCTGCCCTGCAGGCTGCCACCTCGTGCTGCCCTGCAGGCTGCCACCTTGTGTGCTGCCCTGTAGGCTGCCACCTTGTGTGCTGCCCTGCAGGCTGCCACCTTGTGTTGCTGCCCTGCAGGCTGCCACCTTGTGTGCTGCCCTGCAGGCTGCCACCTTGTGTGCTGCCCTGCAGGCTGCCACCTTGTGCTACCCTGCAGGCTGTCACCTCGTGCTGCTCTACTGGCTGCCACCTTGTGCTGCCCTGCAGGCTGCTTGAGCGGCAACCTTTCGAACTTATCAAACTTATTATTAGCCACATCAGAAGCTCCGACCTATTAATAAACTCCGCGTTCAAATCCAATAATATTGTGTTTATACATTTGTGACGCCCATTGGAAAACATTACACTGAGATATCTCAGACGATTGAAGTCAGCGCCCCCCCCAAAGTCAAAATCCTGGCTCCGCCCCTGATTACGTGTTATCAGCGCGAGTTATTAAAATCATAAATACCGAATTGAACGACGCACGCGGCTTATATATCTGCGCACGTAGCGCTCTCTGCTGGGAGCATTTATCAACATTTGTTCGGCTTAACCTCTTTCCGGTATAAAAAAAAAACATAGGAGGTATCTTCAGTTTCAAGGACAATGCATATATTATCATAGTATGTTTTTTGTTTGCATTTTGACTGCAGGTATTGTGGTTAATGTAGACATGAATCCTTGTAAAAAGGTTTCAGTTTTGTTGCCAGAAAA